CCCCCCCCCTCCCCCCTCCCCCCCCCCCCCCCCCCCCCCCCCCCACCCGCGCCCCCGCCCTCCCCCCCCCACCGTCCCCGCTCCTCTTCCGTCTTCTCTCTCTCTCTCTCTCTCTCTCTTTCTCGCTCCCTCTCTCTCTTTCTTTCGCTCGCCCGTTCGCTCGCTCGCACGCTCACTTGACTCTCCCGTCCCAGAGCCCCTCGCGCCGACCTGGTTTTTCCTTCTATCCTCCGAGGAGCGTGCCTCGCCCCCGAAAAGAAAAGAAAAACAACAACGGGCGCACGCACCGCGAGACGCCGCGCGCGGGGACGGGGACGCGATGGCGGACCCTGTCGCAAACGATCACTATTCTTCGACGGCACAAAGCACCACACCGCGGCCGATCTCTTCCCGCCGGAGATCACGAAGGGCCATCGAACAGCAGGGCCATGAGGCGACGGCCGGTCACTCGTGGTTATCCTCCCTTCCCTCGCTGCCGTCTCTCTCTCTCTCTCTCTCTCTCTCTCGCTCACTCGCCTTCCTCACCAACACACTCCGCAGCCACTCCTTGCTCCTGTTTCGCGCGCGAGACGCGCTTATTTACGCGAAAACGGCCCACGAGACTCGCCGAGTCGCGCGAAACTCACCCGAGCGCACACAGTCTCTCTCTCCTGTCTTTCCTTCCTCCTCCCCGTCTGGCCGCGACGCGATCGCCGTTCGCGCCTAACTTCACGCTGTCTGCCCCGTTCACGGCGCGCGCGCGCGCGCGCGCGTCCCTACGGCGATCGGAATCCGCGCGCGCGTCTCCTCTTCACCTGTGCGGCTCCTCTCTCTCTCTCTCTCTTCGTGCCAGGCGACGAGCGAGATCCCCGAAGCCGATCGGCGCGAGCGAGAAAAGCGGGTCCCGCGTACCACGTCGTCCTCTCCGTCGCCGCGAGCACTGTTTTGACGTCCGCGCGCGCGACACCGACCGAGATCGACCGGGCGCGCTTTCAACTTGCGACCGGGCGGGGGGGGGGGCCTCGCGCTTACGCGGGGCACGGTACGGGCCTACGCTGTTTCGGCCCCGCGCACTACGCGCCGGCGGCGGCGAGGGCGGGGGGGACGGCGGCGGGAGCGGGGGCGGCGGCGGACGGTAAACGGCAGCGGTGGACAACACCACCAGCGCGGTAACGAGAGGCACTCCGAACGGCAGCGGTGTGAACGTGAGAGTTGACACACACATGACCGGTCGGTGATATCGCGAAGCGCGCACTGCGGGCGGACGGCAGGCAGGGAGGCAGGCACGGCTCCTTCCCGCGGCCCGTGCGCCCCCCTCCTCGCGCGCGCGCGCGCGCGCGCGCCTCCTCCCACCAGCGCGGCGCGATCCGTTCTCCCCACTCCGCCGCGCGCCCGCGCGCTCTCTCTCTCCGTTCTCCCCCACTCCTGGCGCTCCGCCCCTCTCCGCCGCGCGTCCCGCGCGCTGCCGCCGCGCCGCGTCGCCGCGCGCCTCACTTCGCCGCTAGCCGTCGCGCGGGAGCGTCGACGCGGGGCGAGGGGGCGGCCGGGGAGAATCGCCTCTCGATCCGACGTCGTGGTCCGCGCACAGGCTTTCCCCCGGTTTTCCTCTCCTCCGCGGCGGATAAGGGCAACGCTCGTTGTAAAAACACGTGCTTCCGTTTTTCTCCCGGTGGGAACAAATTTCGATGCCGCCCGCGCCCGTGTCCTTGAGATAAATGCGTTACACCCGCGGCAAGAAGCGAACGCGCTATTTTTGCCCGGCGTTTGGCGAGAGCGATTCGATCAATTGGACGGTTTCGTGCGCTTCCCGCGAATAATTTAAGCGTCATTCCGGGCACAACGGGCGCGAAACGCTAGGCCGCGAGAGATCGGTCAATGGCAGTCGATCGTTCGCCTCACATTTCACTCGTCCATTTCTTGCGTCGCGGCCACGCTATGCGCGACACGTGATTCGTACATGCCCGGCGTTGCGTAGAACATGATCGAGATTCCCGTAGGAAACGATCGCGTTACGAGCAGCGTCCGCCTCGCTCGATTGACAATGAGCCGAATGTTCCGGTACAATAGACTGTTTTCGACCGAGTTGTTTACGGCGCTACTCACTGTTTTCGGCATCGACGCTCGGCGAAACAAATCGTCACGCACGATACATTAGGTAATTATTTTACTTACAAGGAGTAAATTTACTGACGTATGCA